CAATGGGTTGAGGGCAACCCTGCCTCTGACAGACTTCAGGTTGTGCGGTCTGGACTACAATGGGTTGAGGGCAGGCCTGCCTCTGAGAGACATCAGACTGTGTGATTTGGCATGTCTAGGCTACGATAGGTTGAGGGCAGACTTGCCTCTGACAGACATCAAATTGTGTGATCTGGGCTACAGTGGGTTGACAGCAGAACTGCCTCTGACAGACATCAGATTGTGTGATCTGGACTACAATTAGTTGACAGCATGGCTGCCTCTGACAGACATCAGATTGTGTGATCTGGGCTACAGTAGGGTGACAGCAGGGCTGCCTCTGACAGACATCAGATTGTGTGATTTGGCATGTCTAGGCTACGATGGGTTGAGGGCAGACCTGCCTGAGAAAGACATCAGATTGTCTGATCTGGTCTACAATGGGTTGAAAGCAGGCGTGCTTCTGGTAGACATGGGTCACTGGACTTTGTGGGATCCAGGCAATGAGTTACAAGCAAGCCCATTTCTAGCAGACGAGGAATCTGGGCTGGTTTGGGCTGAAAGCAGGCTTGTTTAAGGTCGATACTTACTTTCTCCTTTTTGGCAAGTTCTTCTTCTTTTTCTCTCCATTTCTTGGTCTGTTCTTCCAAATCGTGCAGTTCCTCCTCCACTTTGTTGATCTGTAAAGAAATTGATAAAACGAACACAATGTTCCAATGACAAAAGAGAGATATTTTCATGCCGTTCAACTAAGAATAAAGACCAAAATTTAACTGTTAAGCGCTCAACCAATAACCATTAGTCAGGGGGTGCTAGTCAAAACATCAAGCAATTTAAACAGCAATGTCAAAAGATCTCCGCAGAAATTTTGACTCATGTTTGATCAGAAATAAAAGCTGGGGGGGTATCAGGCCAACCAACAACAATGGCCCAAATGACTACCCAAATACAGCCTCTTTATTTTTCCTTACACTGTTTTTTTTTGCTGTTTGTACATGTCCATCAATTAGTTAATTACTACTGAAAATATCCACAATTCACTTCTGATTATTTCAGCATGAACACATTTCTATTACACTTGTACAACATTCTGAATTAAATCCTCTAATCAATTTCACAAAAAACACAGATTTATTCACAAAAATTGTTTCCAGTTAATGCCTTGTTCAGTCAGTTGTCTTTTCCATCTTTGAAACATTGATCACAATAAATTCATCAGCCCAGAGACAGAACAGGTCATTTTCTTTAGGTAAGAATTACATGTACATGTACCTTGTCTGTATTTCCAGAAGTCTTCAATTCCTCTAGCTGTTTTCTTGTCTGTTCCAGTTTGACTTTGACTCTGATGCAATCAAAATTCACAAAAGAAGTGGGTCAAATATGAGATGTCCATCGTGAAATGAGATTTTGTTTCAATTATTCAGGGGAAAATTTCTGGCAGTAGATTATGTTTTCATGACAAACATCTGTTATGGCAACAATGGCTTTGCTGGAACAAATAATTTTAGAACTGAAAAAACAGGGTTGACCAATTTAAACCAATTTCAATCATGATATACACGTACATCAGGTTAGTCATACACAGCTCACATGTACATGTACATGTGCTTGCTCTGGAATAGAATGAAGCCAACTTGTCAACAATTTTTAAAAAATAATAAAATCGGCAACCCTGGTCTCAAGTCAAATTTACTGCTCGTATCAAGTCCAACAGCTGACCCAAGCTGGAGCATGGCCCAAGTCTAAATAATGAGCAGACTGAGCCTAGGCACAGAAAAAAACAAGCAGAACACAACCTGCAGTAACTTTAAATGGTCTATGATGTGAACTTCAGGAACATTGAATTGAGAATATGTTTTTTGCAATTTTTTACTCCTCTGGATTGGAAGAAAACTATTTACAGTAGAGTGCCACTGAAAGTTAACCTTGGGAAAAACGACTAGGGAAAAAAGGGAAAAGAATTTGCAATCGCAGGCAAATTTCGCTTTTTGACTGCTACTTTTCACCTCTGCAAATCCACAGTGAATCTGGTGTGAAAATGTGCGAAAATGGTATAGAAATGTCCAAAATGATGCAAAAAAATTGCAAAACAGTACAAAATATGTGTGAAAAGGACACGGCGTGAAATATTTACAAATGCTGTGAGCAAAAATATGTGTGCAAATTTGCAAAATTAATGTAAAAACTGTGCAAAAATAATGCAAAAACCGTGCAAAAATAATGCGAAAACGATGTGAAAAGGTGTAAAAATGTTGGTGTAAAAACCTGCTCAGTTAGCCAGATAGATTCTAGACAGCACTGACATCAGAGGCATGGAGCAAACAAACTCTAAAAGGATGTGAGCAGTGGTTGTGTACTGGGCCTATGTATGTAGGGACCAAAATGGGCCAATGCACACGCGTTGCGAGCATGGATCATTTTGGTGAACAAACACGTGGCCCCCGACTCCCCATAAACATGATGCACTAAATTGATTTCTAGCTCTAGGGACCACACTTTTTTTCATCAATTGCTCACATGGATAGGGTTTGAGTTGCCAGAACTCCTCATCAAAAATTCTGCAAAAAGTCATGTTTTCTGGAAGTATGATTTGCTACAAACGGGCATCTTTTTCAAGTGTTTAGAGGCTTTCCGGTACATCTACAAGAAACTAGGTTTTATTTTTGGAAAAAGAATGGGTCGGAAATGGCTTAGAAATATTGAGGTTCAGATCGTGAATGTGCGCGCATTTGCCCACCGAGTGAAGAAGTACGCTGTGATTTTCTGAATGGCAGTGGCCAGGCGTGCATGCACAGCACCCAGTCCACATGGCGTCAGCACGCGATAGCCTAGACGGAATTAGGAAGGTGCTAAAATGCACTGTAAATGAAAGTGGCACAACAAAAAAATTTAAAAATCAATCCAAATTGGGTCACAAAGGAGTACATGTACTTCTCACAAGAACTGCGTTAAAAAGTTACATTGTCTGGACCTTTAATCGCTTTTCAGCGGTTAAATTAATCGCCAAAAGATCCAGCTCTTAGCCTTCCATCAGCCAAGTACGGTACAATGTACTTGTACATACGTGTATGAAGGCTAAATTTAAATTCTGAGGGGAAGCATCAAGTGTCCCAAATTTTCAGTCAGTCTACTCACTGCAGAGACTCATTTTCAACGCGTTCCTTTTCTTTCTTTGCTTCATCCATTCTATCCAGCCTCGCTTGATGTCTCCATCTGAAGAGACTGGGTGTGTCGATGTTGGGATGTGTCTCATCTTCATCGTCAGATATCTGCCAAAAAAAATTGCAAAGTTACAACTTTAAAAACAAATCAATGAGAATAATGTTTGCCACTCAGCCATGCTGCCAGCCAATCTGTGATTCCGGGATACAATATCACAAACAATGGTCCATTTGTATGTTTTTATTAAACTTTTTAAAATTGTACCTTGTTTTTAAATTTTACCTCTGCTGTTGTATTTTTTGAAGTTGTTTATTTTTTCTCAAATGTGTCCAAAACAATGGGAAAATTCGCATATGTACACGTATACATGTACATCTAAAATCTAGGCCCAAACATTCGTCCATGCTAGAAGTACCAGTATACGGAGTCACACCTGTATGGACGCCACTAACTTTCCCTGCAGTAACCTACTGGCCATCTGAAAGCAATAAAATGGCCTAAAAATTTAGCAGTGAAAATATGGAGGTGCTCTCTTAAAAATAAGAGATACAAACTGGTACAACGTTCAACCATCAATCTGATATACGCGCAGTGTGTCATGCAGACTAAGTGTGCGATGTGTTCAGTTCATTTTCATGTGGAGAATGCGAGGATGGTGAGTAAAAATGCTCTGTTTGCCCAAAATAGCGGGTTACATGGTCTGGACCCCATACATGAAGGTCATTGGAGTTTAGATATGGATTAGTATAGTATAGGCAGCGTTTGGGGGGAAGATTTGATTGAGGAAGTGGATATTTTTAACGTACATGTATACATAACTGTAACCCAATTTGTCATAACTTAATAGGGAAGGCCAAACGCTTAGCCTAGAGCTGTATTGCTGTATTAAAAAACCCATAGCGTTACAAACCAATAAAAATCAAAATCCTTCAAGTCACACGTAGTAGTGCGACAATACAGGAAATAATAACAAACTAAAGTTCCACATGAAGCCTAACAATACTAAGCTAACAAGGACTTGAAGGAAGCCAAAACTTAAACAGTATGGGCGCATACATGTACAATGTATATCACCATAGAACTACATGTATGTAGGAACACAGCTATATGATACATGTGTATCTCTAAGGCTGTCCCTAAGCTCAGTGAAGTCCCTTTATTCAGAGACAAAATCAGCCCCCCAAAAGAGATCTGGAACGTCCTCCTAAATGGGGACTTTTTTTCAAGAGGCTTGGTGATCCTACCACTGCCCTGGGGATCCTTTTAATTAATGCCACAATTGGATTCAGCAGAAGGAAACACCCAAGGCTGCCATATGAAAACATATTCTACAGTTTACTTCTCAGCACTTCTAGGATTACAACTGAAGTCTGCAGTGGGACATATACATGTACACTCTATGTAAGGGGGTGGGGGAAAGGCGGGTGCGTATTGTAAGTCTGACGCCTCAAAGGTCCGACGCCTCATGAATCCGACGTCAGACCAACAAGGTGTCGGACTTCATATGAGGCGTCAGTGTGATTGACTGTGAAACATAAAGTAATGCGGGCCTGCGCGACGCGATGCTGCGTGTCATAAATAGTACACCATACTTGACACCGAGAACCAGTCTTGCTCCTAGTGCCGTTTTCATATGCTCGTAACGAGCATCAAATCAAAAGTTGGACTTTCGAGGATTTTTTGAGGCGTTGGATCTATGCCGTGGGCCCAAAAAACGTTAGAACTTTTAAGCGCATTTGTCGGACTTATGAGGCCTCCAACCTATGAGGTGTCAGACTTATGGACTTTTTAAAATGCTTTTTTCGAACTTATGAGGCATCAGAATTATGAGGCATTGGACTTACATGTACGAGCTGACCCCGAAAAGACTGCATCAAAACAATTTTTCGGGACATCAATCCTTTAATACACAACCTAAGCCCTATAGTTAATCAAGCGACATGGCACAAAGTTCCTAAAAACAACTTAAATCCTACATGTACATGTATATGGGAGAATAGCATGTGGATATTTATGTCTCCATATAGGCCTAAAGGGACTTCTCCGAATAACCCAATTTCCCATTCTGTCGCTATGTTGACTTTAGTACGCTGCACGAGTAGGGCTTAGGTCCTAAGTGAACAAAGCTAGTTGTAACGTTAGAGGGGAACAAATTGTCTACAAGTACAATAACAATCGTGAGTATCCATTCGCCAAACACTACACAACGTTGTTGTCATTAACATGATTAAGTTGTTCCCCTCTGCTCAGTCTTCTGCGCTTGCGCAAATGAAACATGAAAAACGCTTCGCCTAGGGCAGTACTAGGCCTAGCCGTTGTGATGTGCGCCTCTATGGTCATGATCATAATTTGACTTTTGTAAGGCTAACAGTAACATGGCTAAGGCGGAGTTAGAGGGCAAGGGCTTTGTATCACGAGGGAAGGCCAAATTAAATTCGTTGTGCATTCATCTTAACTAATTAAAATAACAAAGAACATCCTTCAAATTCAAGGTAACAGCATTTGCGCAGTGCTAATGCTACGCTGCGAGTGCGAACATTAATTGTCCAGATATTGGGCAGCCAGCCCAGGTATTGACAAAACACGCCGAGTCTTTTCGACGATGTGTGGCCTGGTGTCAAAGCAAATATTATCACTGAAGGAAGTGACGTGTTATTAAGGATTTTAATGTCTCAACAAATGTACACAAAATGGAGAGAGGGGCCCAGTGCCGTCAAAAACAGACATTTCTTACCTCGATGTGATCCCACTTGCTGTAGTCCACCATTTTGGCTCCCAGAATGTACGGCTATTTCATGTTTTATGCCAACGAAGTTGTATAGAAGAACTGATAAAATTGTGTGATACATGAAACTTTTACCGGAAATTCGAGAATATTCTCGTCCGAGTTTTTCCCAGAAAATAGTCGGTGTTCCGTCAACATCATATTCATATATCAGAATTACAAAGTTTTCAAAGTTTATAACAACAGTTGTCTTTGTTCGAGAACCAATTTTTCCCATATGAGTCTCAGTTTTGGAAAAACTCACACAGGCGTTTGGGGAAATTGACAACCAGGGCCGCGCCCCCTCAAAAGCGGCGAAAGTGTTCCTTCCTCCATGGTGCAGGGGTGTTCTTTGATTTTCATCCCCTCCCAAAAGCTTGCAAAAAGCCCCAAAGTTTAGCCTCACCCCCCAGAGAGGCCAGCAAAGGTTACACAGAAAGAATTCAGAGTCCCGCCCCCCCAAAAAAAACGATCAAATGACATAGGAAGTTTTTTCATGGCGAAGGTCGATCGCAATTTTAGCACAAAAGGCCTCTTTCGTGAGTATGGGAGGTTCAGAAAACAACCCCCAAACAGATGAAGCCCCCCCCCATTTGGTTTTGCCCTTGGTTGCTGATCCATGTCGTGCAAAGTGAAACAAAAATGCTCAGTGAGGTTCACATGCCTTCATATAAGTTGGTAGGTGAGCACAAAACGTACCCACAATGCCTGCAGTTCAAAGTGTCTAATCTCAAGATATTCCATCTGAAACATTCATTCAGATTGCTGATTAACGCAAACCACCATCTAAGCGTGCCCCTCCATTTTCAGTCTCCGTCCTTCAAAAAAATTGGCGCACAGAATTCAAAGCAACAAATATGGCAACAGGAAACAAACTATTTCGTGCAAATTGGTTGAATATCTTCTTATTGTACAATTTTTCATTTACATAATTACTCCTTTAGATAGCCTGTTATTACATAATTCGTAGAGTCCATTTAAAGTTTATACACATGTACATTCAACAGCCACTAGACTCCCGGACAACACACCAGTGAAGCCTTCCAGAAATCAAATTGCTACTTCCTGACCCTTAATGCAATCAGTAAAAGAATACTCATTTATGTTTGGGGCATTTTAACCACTTTCCTGGGTAGCAACACTGCAAGATAAAAAAAACAAATAACTAACTTTCGTACATTTCACAGAGAACAATAAACCTCACGTATACGTGAATAAACCTGCAGAATATTATCGGCCACAGGAGGAAAATAATCCTGAAAAAAATGCAATCTAAAGGAACAAGTTTGGGTCAGATCTATACATGCATATATTCACCAATTTTTCAAATTAGCAGGTTTCTTACTGTGGTTTACTGAAAATGCAGAGGTTTGGGGGTCTTTGTATTGATTGCTTAATGTGATAACCATATTGTTACATTTTTAACTACAAATCCAGAAATATGGAGAACGTGATTAACTCTTCTGTGAAATTCAAAATGGATCCACAGCAAATATAGTTTGACAGAAAAGGTCCACTGAAACAAATTTAGCAGCAAGGGATTTTTGTTCACAGTTCAGTGGTACAATTTGAAGGTTTAAACAACCAAGTGAAAAATGAAAGACACAAATGTTACAATTTTGCTTTGTTACTTTAGAAAAAATGGGAAAATACTATGCATCAAAACTTGACAAGCTGCATCCTTGTGGGAAAAAGAACCCGGCCTCCTGGATGAAAATGAGTCCACTGTAACATTTAACAGGTATTAAATACTGAGAGCTCTAATAATAAAACTGCCTATCAGAAATATTTGAATTTATTTCAGAATTCTTGGTTTTCAGCGCATAGAATCTTGGGACGTTTTACTCTCACCAATAAACCGTGTCCTGAAAGATTCAAATTCTTTTTGCATACTGCTATAAACACGAAATCAGTTTTACCTCATCTCAGTTAGCACTCTCAGTTAGCAAAATTAGCACTCTCTTAAAGAGGGACAATTTTAATGGGGATCCCGGGCAGAAAATTCTGCTTTTGAATTATATGCGCCATAAAGCACTCGTTATGGCTTTTTTCCCTGCTAAACTAAGTGTTCAGTAACTCCACGAAATTAGCCCTTGACCTCCAAGCTCCTTCAAAATCTACCCTGAGGGTTATGGAGAATTCTTTAGGACTGGGAAAGAAAAAGATAACATCACTGCTCTACTATTAAGAGACTAATCTTCCGGCAGGTTTCAGGACACAGAATCGCACTCCTGGACTGAGGACGATTTTGGAGGATTCAGGATTTAAAAAAGGACAAGAAAATCAAATAGGCTGGAAATAACAGTTTTACTCTTAGCTTCTGGTGTAAGCACAAGTCTACTGGTGACAGTGTGTGCCTACCCCATTCATAGTTATTATACTGAAAAAAGGAACAGTGTGACTGTGTAAATAAGTCATTGCTGTTTGTAAGTTCAAAAAAACCTCAAATTTCACAGGTTCCTTGACTACTGTTCCTTTGAAACTGTCAACTGACTTTAAGCTGTTTTTCAAGGTTTATCCAGCTGACAATACATGTGCATATAACGTGAAACTAAAGTAACAACACTATAAACATTCTTCATGGTAATGCTAGGTACTGCTCAAGTACTACGTGGTTTCAGAGTTCACCGGTGTAATGTCGAGCACAATACATGTAAGATTGCATAATAATTGAGTGACACCAGGATACCGATCATGAGGCTCTGTACATAAATGTATACACACGGTCATTCTAGTAGGTGATTGTTTTAATCAAGCAATGCTATTGGACATGGCATTTAACCATTGAGGGTTTTGTGTAATAAACCTGCTCCAAGGAGCAAAGTGAGGCACTTAGGACACATAGGAGACATGGGGTGGAAGGCGGGCATTTGCCCCCCTCTTGAAATTCAGAAGGGTAAAATGCAAAAAGGGCAAAGGAGATGAAAAAGTGACGGACTAAAAAAAACGAGGAAACAGAATGAATATCACTCAGAATGATTTGTCAAATTACTGCTGATGAGTGATTCCTCCTCAGCAAAAGAACGTGGACTTGCCAATGTTTGGGCAATTTTCCAAATCTTGGGTTTGTGCATGTCTGGGTACAAGTATTGGGCTTCAATTTAATTATTTAATTCTCTGATTTGAAATCCTCAAGCTCAAAGCAGCTCCACTTTTTACTGCAGAAACATAAAATTGTTCTAGGTGAGGCCCAAATTTCAACTTTTTCTAGTGTTTGGTTCTAAAACTAATTACAGAACTCGTCATGAAGCTGGAGATTAATATGAAGCTAAGATTTGAAAGAAAAGTATGAAATTTCTGTTTTTACAGAAAAGTTGGAATCGAGTAAGTTCTATGACAATCACAAGGCAGTCCACAAAACAATTTGTAGGTCAGTTCCTAGCATGGGTGGCGATTTCTTGTCACATGGGGGGGGGATTTCTGAAAGCTCAGCACAGCCTGGCCTCCATACCAGGTGAGATCATATGCTGGCAAGTGCAGAGTACGGTGGTGCAGGCTGAGGGTAAGCATAGTCAGTGACTTGGAAAGTGAGGGATGATTATATTATTAATAACCCCTGGGATCTCCACCCATGGTTCATGAATCAGATCAGCATTTAGGAGATGAACAATAACAAAGGAACACCCTTGTGACAGTTTATTTGAATAGCCTGTGAGTTGACTTAGGACGGAATGAATTGTGACCAACTGGTGACTGACTTGATTGCAATTCTGTGTTACACTGAAAACAAAGGGCTTGCCGGCTTGCCACAGAGCAGCTGCTAAATGAACTTTTTTTTACAGAGAAGCACAAAACCTTGGCATAAACCCTTCAAAAATTGCAGTGCCTTAAGGAGAAAGAACATGAAGTGAAAAACCAAGTGACATAGTGATATAAGCCACATCTCTGTCTATTCAATATTCTCAAAACTTCACCACAAGATTCTCTATCTTGATTGGCCGAGAGCTAGTCACATGGCAATCACTATTTCATGACCAACAGAACTATACCCGTAACAACCAAAGTACTATACCTGTAGCAACGAAAAAACTATACGTATGACACTCGGCATTACATGCCGATGCAAAAAGGCGTGTGGGTTGCACGTTGTCTGCATTCTGAAATGTTAGCGCTACAGAGCAGGGTTCAGATATTCCATGAAGAGGTAGTCGGGGGACGTATTGGTATATTTTCAACTGATGTCAAAGACATACATTCTATATGTATTTAGATCAAATTAATCAGATTATGTGAAGCAGAATCTGCTGGAGAGGTGCTACAAAACAAATATGGACTGCTTTATCTCATGGTGTAGTAAAACTAGCCTCCTGAGTGATCCACGGAGCATTCTGGTTTCCTGTGGCTTCACCTTGGGAAAATGGAATGCCCTACGGATGATCTCAGGAGGGTCCTGCAGAAAGTTCAACACTGACTCAAAATATGCATTTGTCCCACTGGTGTGAAGTAAAAAGGAAAGTACTTTTAAAAAGTTTTTAGCAACCACATTTAAATAGCTGCATTCAATTTTTTGCACTGTGAAATATTCTCTTGGTATTGTACAGATGGCCGGCCATGGGCAAGTTTGAGAGATGTCTACGGATAACTACGGTTCAAACAACACTGCTGAATGAAAGTTTCAACCATGAAGTCGACCATTTGGAACCAGGCCTAGGGGTGTGGCCACATTGCTGGTTATCAATAGGTTAAATAATTTATCAGTAAAGAGGGGACCATTCACAGGAAATAACTGTACAACGAGTCATCGAACATGTACACCGTGAGAGTTGCAGCAAATGGAAAAATATGAGCGACGATGGGAGTTTAAAACACAGTTCAACTAGGGTCGTTTGAGTGTGGCTCAACTGGTGAGCTAGCCATAGTTCGCACCTGAACCTGTCCCTAGTTTGCTGGTAGGCAAAAAATACAAGTTTTATGTACCAAGAGAAAGCCTATTGGTACAGATGTCAAAGTTACTGGTGCCTGTCCAAACTAAAGGAATCTGATTGCACTAGGAGCCGCCCAGGTTAAGCAGCAACATCTGTGTAAGGCCCGTATGAGCTGTGAAATGAAACCTGATTCTGTGACATCCTATTTTAATCGTCCATCCCTGCTTGTAATCCGGTACATTCCCGTCTGCACTATAGATGCATTAGAGGCAATCCGGCGTCATGATTGTCTGGGCTTTTGTCAAGAGCCACCTCTCTGTGCTTACGCTGAGTTCGAGTGGTCCGTGTATATCTTGAGGGCACGCTCTTTGCGCGGTGAGGGATAGCTCGGTTTCTGGCTGCTCCTCTCAAAGCGAGAGCTTTCCTTCTTAACAATCTCCTGTTTTTCATCTTCCGTTAGCTCCTTCACGCCTTCCGATCTGTCACTATGACCAAAAAGGTAAGGAAGATCGTTCACCAAAACAAAAAGCTGAGGGTTCCTACTGATTTGCACAGTGCAGTATCCATTTCCAACTAAAAATTCACTCTGATGACATGCGACTCAGTTTGTTTGGTTGCATCATTTTCATCTACATCCTGACAGATGGTATCGAATAGCAAAATTTAGAGGGGGGGCCAGTTATTTCATACAAAATGCAATCAAACCACAACCTATCTTACCAGTAGTAGATGACTGCGCCATCGTCACTGATGTACAGTGGCCAGGAGTTGAGGGAGGTCACGTCTGGGTTCCACTCCAAGTCTGTCTGCATCTCCAGTAGCGAGATCTCACAGGGGAATGTCCCTTTGCCCTTGGCGAAGGCAATGCTCTCCATGCTGATGCCACTCAGCCTTGATAACTTTTGTAACGAGGATTCAAACAATCAGGAGAGGAGATGGTGAGACAGCCAAGGGAGTCATGTATTTAGATGGGACATTAAGCCATTGGTCGCATGTTCTGGATCATTAAACCTTGACAAATCCAGGAACTATTTTGTAAAGGAATAGAGATTTGCCTCAGATTTTCTGGTCAACTTTCTGCTTTGAAAACTGGAAGAGTGCTCTATGAATGAGTAATAATAAAATGATCGTTTCTGTTACTATTCTGATGAACATTAGACCCACCTCCTTCTTGAGATCATGAACTGTGCAGTCGGCGAGGATGACCTCCTCAAAGGGGTCCACCTTGAACTCTGATGGCCTCCATCTTCGGACAAACAACACCAAATGAGTCTGGTCCACAACCGGCTCAGGGTCTGTGGGAATTGTAGAAATGAATCAAACAATCAGCTGTGATTAGGATCTGGCAAAACAAAACTATACTGAGAGAGAGAAGAACAATTAACATATGTGGGACACTATGTACTTGAAAGCGGTGAATTCCACATAAAAAATAATCTAGCTGGCCATTCAGAAGGCCAAAAACAAGTGAAACTATACACTGATTCATAATCAAGCCACTGGAAAATGTGGAGGGAACCGGTCTCTACCACTCACTGAAAAAAAATCTTTACCAATCAGCTGTTCCCAAAGTGGTTATATGGAGGACACTGACATCACTTCCAATAGTCAATGGCCAATGTTTTTTTACATAGACTTCATGAAGGTATTGTGTGATCTACATAAGAAACATTTGGAAAAGGACAACTTGTAAGTTCAGGTTAGTTCTGGGAAAGAACGGAAAGAGGTCACATGACCAATTTTCAACACAATGTGTACAAAGCTGCAACATTCAGAAATTGACAGAATACCCCAAATTCTAAGACGGTCCTCCAAACCAGCCAACACTTGTAAAAGGCCCCTAGTATCCACTCAGGAAGCATGGATAGTATGTTGAATGGTCTTTTCACTGTTGATGGCTGCTTGCGCACACAGCCCAAAGCAGCTATAATTGAAATGACAATTCCGTCTTCACAACTTACAGTCCAGAATCTCGATGAAGACCTCCCAGTTGGTGAAGATGGGGATGTCTTCCTCGTACAACTGACTGTTGGCATAGATCGTCCCGGGGTTCTTCCAGGCTTTCTTCCTCAGTCTCAGCCGGTCTTGGGCGACGTCGATCAGACACTTGGCCTTCAGCTCAGGCAGGAGCTCCGTCTTAGACTGTAGGACAGACATGCCCTTGGCAAAGACCCAGTCAAAGAGGTACTTGCAGGGCTAGGCAAAGAGAGAGAAAAAAATGAGACTGCCAGCTTGCATGAGATAAGTGAGATTTGAAATATTACTTATTTGGCATTTGGTTTGGACAGCCCACAACGGTATTATAAATTTTTCCAGTGGGGTGCCTCTGAGGAAGGACAACCCAGCAGAGAGAAGACAAAGAAATTCTCTTTTGTAGAGATGGGCGAAATAAGCCCACACTAATAATTCAGGGAAAACCAAGGAGTCAGAGAGGGACCGGTAACTAAATATACATGTTGACCCCAGCGGGATTTGAGCCTGCAGGAGCAGAGGTGAAAGGTGAAGAAAGTACTACTGTGCCAACCTGATTCAGCAATATGCACATTCACCTCTTGGCTGTAGGCCCTTAACCAATCAGTGATTACGTCCTGCTCATGGATTGCCTATCTCCTCCAGTTTGCTTACTGTGATTAATTCACCAATCAGTGTGATACAAGTCATAAATATGCATGGACTGTTCCTGTTGACTCTCAGTGACAAACCAATCATTGACAAGGAAAGACTCACAAATAGGCTTGTTCATATTAAAACATACATGCTCACCTCTGGGCTATTGGCATCCAGCTGATAGATCTTGACTCTGTACTCGCCTTTCTTCAGTGCCCGGCCCAATTTCACCACAACTCGGCTGTCCTCGCTGTACGACTGCAGTGTTTCTGTCAACCGAATGCTCTCAAACTCCTGATTGTTTGCATAGACCCTGTAAACCTGTTGATTTTAACAGACAAAAGCGTGTGCTAATTGAAGCTATCAGTGAGTTACCTGCACCCTTTACATTTGAATAAGCCAGTATCTAATTTACTTAGCCACAACTGGAAATAGCACATGCATCTATGAGATATGCATGAAATCACTGGCTGGTGCCTTTCATTTTGATTGAAAACTGAATTGACAATTATGTCATTTGAGCTGAAGCCATGCCAGTCGGACAAGGTCTGAGACAATGAATGCACTGGGGCAGCATGTCTAGACAGGTATAACGTGACCTGTCCTGATGTATATAAGTGCTAGGATACCCAATGCCTGAAAGTTTCCAAAATTGGCCTAGTTACCACACACTTAGTTCTTGAGTACACATACTGTACGTGCAGCACTACATACAAGTGCCTAACTGTCCACAAACTGATGACACTGATCAAAGGCATACAAAAAATTCACTGACCAATTTTGGACTCAAAATCGAACAGAAGTACTACAGCTTCATTGAGACTAGATTCAGGACACAATACACTTTGTCCCATCCTTCACTCCCCTACCTTAAAATTCTGTGATTCTGTACCCACATAGGGCTCCAGTGCCTTCTTGAAGACTGCTAGGGACATCCTCTTGTCCACATAAACAGGCATTACTATGAAGACAAAAAAGATTCAACGTGTTAACCCTCAACCCACTGGATTCTTATTCCAAGAAGCTAATTCTGTCCAGGTCTGACACAGTGCATATGTGCAGTAACCCCAGGGAACACCTTTGGCAAGAACATAAGAGAAGATGCTATAAAGTAGCGTCAACATATGGCAAGCTGCAGCCAAGATAGATGCAACCAGACTCTCTTGTCTGCCATGGCTGTGGTAGTATCATCAAAGTACTGGCTCACATCAGTAAAGACAGCGTCAACGTACAGTTGAGTTGTGTGCTCCCTCTGGTGGGGTAAGGCAATCTCCAACAGATGAGGTTGGATAAACCTGTTTTTTGGCTCTACAGCAGTGGCGGCAAAGCAGGCCACTGCTGTATAATTAGGAATTTGTGGTTGGGTTCTACAGTCCTTAAGTTGTCACCAGGGGATAGATTTTGGGACAATTCTGGGATGGCAGTTTTGGGTTTAAGCCATAGAGGTTTTTCATTGCTGGCATCTCTATGGTGTCTTGGAGGCTGTTTTTGTTATTTTAATTTAATTACAACACATGCACAACAGGTTGGTTCGAGCCCATCCCAGTGATACCAAACTCTTGCCCTCTGAAAACAAGTTAACGCATGACCTCTACTGCCAAGGTTGTGCGTATGTCCTACACCCTGGAATCATTCCTGTATGGAACAGCACTAGCAGTTAACAAAACAAACTTGTGAAAAAGCATGCTGGCTGCAGCCTGAGTAAAACAACACAGATATGGTTCTCTTAAAAAAGTTGTTAACCACTTGCTGCTGGGTGCGCTTAAAAAGGCAGTGCCTACATACAGGCGATTTTTCAATATCTTCGGTTTCCAAAAATCTTCCCTGGCACCATATGGTTAAGCTGTCTTGAAGTTAAAAATGGATGAAATAAAATTTGTATCTCACTTTTGACATTAAAATAAATTTCTGTTGTTCTTTGGGGTTGTTTTTAACGAGGAGTCAAAAGCAGAAAGTATTGTTCGATTTTATTCAAATTATAGCTACCCATCTGGTACACATCAAAAGCAAGTTAAGGAGTGCTCAAACTGTGCAACAACATACAACCAAACAGGAAAGACTGGTAACTTGACAGTCAGTTTACAGGATCCCTTTAAAGTGCTTTGGTGTCAAATCTGTCCCTCTACAAGGAATTATGAGTGTACATAATTAACGAGATGTAGTGTCAGATGTGCAGGTTTGATAAATGACAAGTCACTGGGCTCTTCCCTGTCCTTGGACCTTAAAGTTTTCTGGTCCATGGAAAATTGCTACAGCCCTTATGCCATGCTCTGCATTCAACAACAGTTGGTAAAAGAGAAGCTTTTTCCTTTGCCTCAAACCAGGTTTTTGCCTAAGCGTCCCTCGGGTTTTCAAAATGTCATATACCACATCACAGCAGTCAACAACAGTTTTGTCACATCTCTGTCTCAATGATTTTTTTCACTTTATTTTTTCAAGGACATTAAGGGTGACAAAGGAATCTGTGAGCATCAGCGGTTAGTGGTCCCTCTATTATCTTGTACACTGCAGGGGCACATATGTGCATATGGGTGATATCAGACAATGTTAGCGGATGTGATATCTAGCAGTGAGTGTGACGTGCAATCATGTTACCTTGTAACGTGATAATTCTGGGCCAGTGAAAAAACAATATCCAAGACAGAGATATGCCAATCAAATTCACTGTTTAGGGCATCAAATTACAGGTTGAAGCTTTTACACATTTGTAGGCTGGTGTTTATGATGCAGGCTGATGATAATAAATGTGAGATGTAAACAATATGAAGATAATGGAAGATGTTACTTGAAAGAACTTTTATCAGAAAGGTTTCCCCAAAACAAGTTTGTTTCTTGGGAAACTTACACTTACATCTTGAATTGTCTACTATCTGTATTGGCTCCGCCTTGAAGTACCAGTTTAATGGCTTTGTGTGCCTCGTGTTTTCATATATCTCGTCTTCAGAGTCTTCATTGGGGTCCTGGTCAGTGACCACACTACCTCTGGTCTCGCCCCCTGCCCCTGGGTCCGTATGACTGGGTATGCTACCCGATTTGTTGTCCGAGGTGCCAGTCATTGGGGAGCTGAGAGAGGAGAGGGGTGAGAGGGGGGAGGAAACTGCCCCCGAGCTGGGCTCCGAGTTCACCTGCTGAAGCTGGCTGCAGTCCCCGCAACCCCTGTCGTCACACCAGCAGGGGTCCGTGGTTGATTTTGAGGTTTGGTCCTCTGATTGCAGAGTGTGGACATCCTCAGTATTCTTGTGGTCTTCAGACCCCACTGTCTCGCCAGGTCCGGCCTCGTCGTCATCCGCAGCAGTTGCGCCCTCAGGGCTGCCACGTAGCTCGCCGCTATTGCCGTCGTTGTCGCCACTCAGGTCGTCATGGATCCGGGTGTCGTTCAGGGACACCACACCACTGTCCGTTTCACTGCCGAGGAGGTTGGCGCTGTTCTTGTCCAACGGGTGGTCATCGCTGAGCGTGGAGGAACTACCTGTGGGGCTTGGGGTGGGCACCGTATTCATGGCAATGTCCGTCTCAAGCTGGAGATCATTATATTTTTCGTCGGTGGATGAAGTCGGTGAGGGGCATGGTGACACACTGTTGCTTTTAGGTGGCTTAAAGTCATCTGTGAAACAAAACAGCATTTCAAAAGTTTACACCAGGCGCTAAATGCATCCAACAAAGATCAAAGATGGTACCAAACTTGATTTTTGGTGCTTGAAAGGGCATATGTATACTCCCTGGGGGATTGAGATGGTTGTGAGAATGTCCACTGCTGAATTCAAGTCCATGACAAGTCCCTGTCAGTCCATCATAAGACATACATTCAGTCTGAAGCCAAGTCACAATCTATTCAAATGAACTGTGACAAAAGCTGTCCTTTTTCATTGTTCAACCAACTAAATTTGACTGGTCCTGTAAAAGAGCCTGTGACAGACTCGACTTCAGCGCGGGGAATGTCTACACGAAGGTGATAAGGATACAGCACTTCGGCATCATCGAAGAGCAGCCCTGTCAGCAAATGGGTACAATTACGTATGAGTCTTTCCATCCGTAACTGTTGTAGTAACAATAAATCGGTGCTGTAGTTGATGAAACCATCACAAGACCAGGCACTAGATCAGATGCAAGACTGTTCATAAGTAACAGGGTGAACGGTGGCAAGAGCATGCTTTGAATGCAGCTTTGTTTATTCAGATTGGAGGTCCTGAGTTGGTCTTGACATGCATCAACTACCACACTACAGTATTCAGGACCACGTCCACAGTAATCGCAGCAGCAGTGTCACACAATGTGATCCAAAAAGGCAGTCTCACATTCTCAAGTAGAAATATTTCGGATTAGACAAAATTAATTGACAGAGACAGATACAAAGTGACAGTAGTGGCAAGCTTAATACAAACACGCCTGAACACATCTGTGCACAGGCAAAGTAAATACCTAGTCCCATACACTGTAACAAGACCTGATAACTCATCTGGCATGCTGTTGTAATGAAATGACAAGTCGGTTTCACCTTGACTGCACAGCGGTAGTGTCACCTGTAGTCTAATTGTATTTGCATTCCTGTCCAGCAGTTGGTAGAGTTTGGAGTCCAGGAACGTGACCCGTTTATCTTCAATATTGCTGCTTTCAACAAAAACCTGTATGTAAAACAAAATGAATACAAGATTTCTCGAACTGCCTCAATTTATCACAATTTCAGCAATTTCACGCCGCAAATTTTCGGGGCAAGTCTGTACCTTACTGCTCTTGGAGAAGCCCTCGTTCTTCAATGTCTTGTGTCCGTTGACCAGTGGCTTCAAGTCGTTGTAGTATTTTTCCCAGACAACTCGCAACGTTTCCACATTTAAGCCCGTGACCTGTTTGTGGAGGTAACAAATTTCTTAGAGAAAAATTATATTTAAGATTTAGATTCAGATTCTGTCTGACCTAGATCCAACCTTTCTAGACCCAGCTCTACTTCTGATTAAGTCAAATTTTCCAGAAATTTTACAGAAATTCAAACATCGTGGAGAAAACATTACATTTTATTGACTATTGAAAATGCAACAAACTTTAATGTTGGGAGAAAGATACATATCTAGGGCTACGGCTCACAACTCGCCTCCAAACAGCCATGCCCGATGCTTCCTAGAGTGTATGGGGAACAAGGCAGGTTCCAACTAGGAGACACTCTCAAGAAGCAGCAAGGACTGTGCTACTCAAGCTCACCTCTGCAATCTGGGTCTTGAAGTCCTGCACTGTCGTGTTGACGTAGGATCGCAGGCTGATGGGACTGGCAATGGTTTCTGCCTCCAAGTCCACAACAAACACCTTGTTGGTTACTCCTGGTGACAAAAAAGGACATGTTCATCTGACACATGAACACACTTTACAACATTCTTTCTAAATTCAGCAAGGCAAAATTACAAGGTCTCCTCAGAGCCATGCAGCTCATCGATACGTCTAATCCCCTACATGGGTTGCCAGTCTATCGCAGGTTGCCTTCCAAGCTAATGCTTGTACCCATTTCTCACCCAGGTGAACAGAGACAAGCAAAGGACGATGTGTCTTGCCTGAAAACTCAAATTATGGCCAGCAGCTGGATTTGAACCCCCGACCCTGTGATTGGAAGCTACAAACCTTGAACACTAGGCCACATGCCCCCCTTTTTTCTAAAAATAAAAATGACATTAAAGATATGTAAGATATAGATGTAGTCAAGGCCATGGTGCTAACTCATTGCCACTGCTGATCATCAGGCCTGTACGTCATTTCTGAAACCGACATCCTTACTCCTTGGGAAGTATACACCTCAATGCAACAATATTACAAATTCAAAATGCCAATTGTCTGTACTGTCACAAGTAGCCATAATGTTTGTTTACTTTTTAAGTTGAGCATGTTTCTTTGGTACTGCCGATTACTCCCCCCCCCATTCTTGTCAGGAACTGTCCTAAATCCTTTACAAATTTTCTCATTGAAAATATTTATGAAGAGTTGCTCGTTGGCTTGTTGTTTGGTACCTACAGTACAACCTATCACAAGAGACAAGGAACCTACAATGGCAAAGTCTAAAAAATTCTGGCCTTTTCGTGTGCATAAATCAATGCGACATTGAGGTTTTCTCCCTAATATGACATCACAGTTTTTCTTGTGAAAATAGAATTTTGCATTAGCATTAAAACCAATGAGGTGCCAAAATATATTCTAAATTAGCAGAGAAAAAATTCAAAATGAGGTTATGTGAAACACAAAGGTGCATTTTCAAGTGTTGTAAAGAATGCATTGCTCTGGTTCTTTAACCCCTTAAAACATGCCGTAAAAATTGAGATCCTCAGCCCGTTTTTCAGCTATTATTCTCGACCCACGCTCGAGCGAACACGGTGAAAGAAGGCAGACCCTGGCTCTTGAGTATATGGTAAATGGTCTTTGTGTGTAGCCCAGAAATGAAAAGACCGAATTTGCATCATAATGACCAGCTTCACAATAGTCCCCACTTTGAAAAGAGGCAACAGGAATGTATGTGGAAGCTTGAGTAGAGCTGCATGCCACCGAACAATCAGTCTTTTCACCGTGTAATTCAAAGCGTGCAGAGCACGCAGGGCCACAAACCAAGAATTTGCGGTTTGGCAGGTGGCCTTCGTGGCCAAGCGAGGCTGGGATTCTTGGCGTCAGCTTTCGGAAAGAAATTCCCATCAAGAAGGGGTTAAAGTTGGAGCAGGTAAAATAAACTCTAAACTTGCTACCAGTCCTCTCTCACCTCCAGGCCTGTAAACAACAAATTCTTGGTCTTCCCTTCTGGTCTCCAGCAGCAGGTCAAACATGTAGGCCGACTTGACGCCCCAGAGTAATGTCCCCATTGGCGTGTCTTCTTCCCCCTCGAAGGACTTCTCCAAAGATTCATTGAACTCGTCATACTTGACCAGCCGACAGCACTCGAGTGGGGTGTGTTTGTCAAAACCCAAGAGCTTGTGGGGGAAAAAATTCAAGTCAATCGGAACAGTTCAAATCATTCAAATCTTTGACAGACAGAAAGAAAATAAGGCTGTGCTTGAATTAGACCCCTTCCCCTCCCCCGGGTCGTGGCTATCCCTCGCCCGATCTCTTTCAATCTTTGCATGCACAAAGACTCAGTGCACAAAACAAATTGCATTGACATCGAAAAAAATGTTGAAGGGGTGGATCCTACCCTCCTGACCACTTCCCCTTGACCTAACAGTCCAATTTCAATATGGTTTTACATACACCCTAAGGGGTTAGGGCTGAGGGTCAACACACGTCTTTCACTCCCTCACCTTCTGGGCAATCTCTGTAGCTTCTCTGAGTGTCTTGTCCTTGTGCACTTCCAACCTCGCCTCCACTGTCTTCCCAGTCAGTGGATGGACACCAAACAACTTGATCTGAGGGGACAAACCAGCATCAAGAAATGCACACTGAGTAGTGTGAGGCACTCGCACTGGTTTTTTGCCAGTCTACGTCTTAAAAGCGGAGACCAAAACTTCACACAGCACTCATGTAAAGAGCAGATCAACAGCCTGAATGGTGTTTTTTCTAACAGTGGTCAGACTCCAACAGTGTCTAACAGTATATCGGTAACTACAATATAAAGACTGCAGTAAAATGTTATCATCACACTTAATGCAACTTACAGAGGTGTGATGTCACCACAAGACCTTCCCGTTCTCTCAGGGTCATGTGTTTTGCCTAATTATGACATTGCTAATTCAGACTCTTGGCACCTCACCTTGCAGGTGTTTCTGTCAAGCTCCCTTTGTCTTCTCTCTTCTTCTTCGTCATTCTGTATTCTCACCATCAGCTCCTTGATATGTAATGGGAACTGTTCAACTGCCACAAAACCTACCAGAGACACAAAAATGTGACTGGGCTTGGGAACAGTAACAGTGAGTACTTATAACAGCACATCAGGGTTGAAGGTACATGTAAGTCTCTACAAATCAATCACAGGTTCACCTCCCCTCCCCCTCTGGTCATGTCCAGCATGGCAGTCAAATCCATCAGAAGTCCTTTCACAGGTCTTATCTCAAGTCACTGTTTATGAAATCAGTCACTAGTAAAAGAGTGAACAGTGACAAGGATTACTTTTGTCAACATTCATTTGAATGGCTTGTGACTCTAATGGCCAATGATTGGTTTGTGATGGCCTGGACTTGCAGAGACTGGCAGGGACTTGTGATGATGGACTTGACTACAATGCTTCTCAAGCCAAAGGGCTACTCAAATGAACTGTAACAAAGGCATTTCTTTCAGATGTCTTCAAAGCACACATCTTAGCAGGTCCTCAAAGTCATCAAAGGTCCTCACTAATAATTACAAGTCATCCCGCCCCAAGCCCAGTTCTGAGGCACTTAAGTCAATTGTAACAAAATGGCATTCTTTGGGTCTGAGTCAACTGTAACAAAATGGCATTCTTTGGGTCTGAGTCAACTGTAACAAAATGGCATTCTTTGGGTCTAAGTCAACTGTAACAAAATGGCATTCTTTGGGTCTGAGTCAACTGTAACAAAATGGCATTCTTTGGGTCTAAGTCAACTGTAACAAAATGGCATTCTTTGGGTTGGGTCCTCTCGACCCTGCACTCTTTGCAACAGCACAGAAATCAGCTCCAGCAACGGGATCACCCGTTCAAAGAATCAATCATCTGAAGGAAAACGCCAACACACCCGCATTTTTGTCTGGTTCCACCCGCCTGTACATTAGCATGTAAGCGTTAGGTAGCGTGCTGTTGGGGGCACTTCGACCGGGCAGGGCCTCGATACCGTATGTACGACGAATGTCGTCTTGGCCGGCATGTGTAACACTTGTGTCGTTGAAGCAGTACCACTGCCCGTCGCTGAAAGATCTAGGAGGGGACAACGAAATGCTAAAAACAGTTCTGCATTATTTCTAAATGGGGGTATTTGGGAAAAAAACAAAACCCTCACACACATATTATCTTCAGTCTCTATGATAAGCTTGAAAAACTAGCCGGTATACCTAATCTTATTTTAAAGAGGCTCATTAAAGGCCTCTTTGTTTCTCAGCTTTCAGTTAATGCAATGTTGCAATGATTATTCCGGTCCTGGAACTGATCTAGTTCAAGAATACACACAAAATAGACCTGCAATATAATGACGTCACATTTTCTGCGCTTTCCCAATACAGGGAGGTACACTACTTACCCAATCCATTAAGCCCTCATACAAAAGCATACCTAAAATAATCTGTGATGTTATTATATAAAGGTCCATTGGACGGCGTACATATTAAAAATTTAGATTAATCACTCCAGAAGTCTTCAGGGCAAAAATAATTTTTCAATTTAAAGGGAAGACTCTACACGCCAACTCACTTGATGTATGCATAGTAATGGCCGCCGTTGGCTGTCCCCGAATGCACCATGATGGAGAACAGCTCATACAGGTATGGCGTGACTGCCTCCGGTGTGCTGGAGGCCGTGACCTGGCTGGCTTGTTCCACGTCGATGCCTTCGTCCACCGTGTCGTCAGGGCTGAGATTCGGTCCAGAGTCAGCGAGGATGTTCGGACTTTCAAAGTCATCGGTCTCCCCATCTGATTGGGCATGTGTCTGCGAAAGCACCATTGTTATCGGTCAGTTATACTATGCAGATGAAGATAATGAATTGAAACTTCTGCGTATGGATGCTGAACACAACTCAAACCTTGTGACGAATCCAGCAATGAGTGGGTTGCTTGGCATTTACAAAAGGGAGAGGGAGGGCCCTAAATAGAAGTGAACCAGAAAAAGACACTAAGCCTTGTTTAAGGGTTCTGCCTGAGATTTATCAGTAACCAGTTAAGAATTGAAATAAAGCAGGGAACAGAGGCAAAAGTATCTCCCCTAAAACTTAAAAAATTCCAGGGGAGAGTGCAGTACATTTTTAATGGAACTGTCTGGGCTTGGTGCAGTTTTTATACACTTTTGCCCATTGTGTAGGCTTTTATGCATATTTGTTAACAGGGATTTTATGGATTTGCACAAACTCTCTGGTCATTATTCCGACTTTTATACGCATTACACATGCATGCATTTCGGTATTGAGCTGTGAATGGCCAAATGTATCTGTACCGACTATCCATTTTACTTAGAGGATAACTTCAAATGCATGTATATTCTCTTCTCGTGACTTTTTTTGTGTGCATGTTATTTATGTCTTATCTGAATCACTGTTTATACGCTTTTTGTGAGTCAATCCTGTTTGGATTGACTATCAGGGGGCTTGTTATTATCAATAATTTGTAATGTCGGTGACTGTAACAGTGACCTGCCCTGACCTGAAATCCTACCTCTTCTTTTTCTTGTTTTTCATCTTCCAGAAAGTCACTCATATTGAGCAGCTCAGGAAAGGTGACTCTATAAGACATGAAAAAAAATTTCTCCGATTCACAATCCTGAATTCGGATATGAGTGATACAGTCAAAATGTATGGAACTGGTATAGACATCCATTCTTATTTCTACTGCAAAAAAGGCTCAATAGGGGGTTTGCTGTTTCAAATGTGCAAAGCTGACAAAAATCAGTTGAATAAAAATACTAACAATGAAAATGTTCTCCCTTTTAAAGAAAAGGTTACTATGTTGATTAAAACCTGTCATTTTTGAAAAACATCATTTGATTTATATTGGCAAACCCTGCCCTACTTCTAAAGTCCTCTGAAACATCCACTGTGCAGGCACCCAGTGGGAAACTCTTCCTACTTAAATTTTTACGGGAGAAATCAAACCCACGAATAGTACCCATGGCCAGATTCTGCCTCCCTTAATCCTACAAAATCCTCTTAAGTTTCTGGTGGATCCCAAATGGTCGGAACCGCTACCCCCTTCAGATCAAAGTAAATGACAATGACCTAGAGATACATCAACCGCTAGACAATAAAAACCAACAACTGCACAGCACTGCATGTTGACCACCTACTTGTCGTTCAGTTTGATCCTCGTGCAGGTGGTGTAATCGAAGTCGAACCGCTTGAGCTGCAGGGTCAAAACGTAGGGGAAGGACTGGAATTTGAGACCCTTGTGAGCGTCGCACTTCTTGTTACAATGCTCGCAAAAATATTGGTTGGTGTCCTTTAGAGTTTCGGGCATGACAAAGGCCTGCAAGGCTTCTTGCTGCAGAGGAAATCAAAAGATGAGGGTATTAAACTTGAAGTCTGAAAAAATTTTTGGTACTAGGTATCTTCCTCAATCCTCCAAAATCATCCATTGTGCAGGAACTAAAATGAAAATTCTGGATACTTTCAATGAACATTCTTTCAAGGGGCATCTGATTCAATGTCATGTAACTGGCTGGTCTATACTGGGGCTTCATTCAGCAAGGGTTTAATGCAGGCATGCAGTATGGGCAAATAAAATAACATACATGAAAAATCCTAACTTGGGCAAAATTTAAGGTGGATAGAGGTACAAGTACATGTAAATACTGAAAAAGACACATAAATTTAACTTTTTTATAACAATAATGACGAATATGGACAAAAAGGTCAGGGGCCATCCTTAATTTTTAAGGAGTGCGATAGTGCAGGTGCTCCTACCACGCTCCTCAACACTCCTAAAGGAGCGTAAAAATTCACGCTCCAAAAAAATCTATGGGCACTTTACAAATAATGATGACAAAACAGTTGATAACATCACCTAAAAAGGACTGTGATTGGTGTGTAACTTACGATTTTACATTTATCCAGCCGCGACTTATATACTTAGGCCTATAATTATTGTATGGATATGATCATCGTGGCTTGAGCGGCCAGCCGGCCCTGCATGCACTTATAGCATGCACACTGTACATGTACACACACATGTATGTCTTGCACGGTTTCGCTGTACTTGGTAATCTGTTACGTGTTTTATTATTGGTCAGTACAAACTTTTCAGTGACAAAAGAGCCAATCAGCATCAATTTTTTTCACAGGGCGCATAAGCAGAAAGCGGCGTACCATGAGCTTTAGTCATCATGAAAACATTGCCCCGTGCATACATACAGCATGTGCCCATTGAATTCAGGCAGGAACCCCAAGCGTGTCGAACAATAACATTGTCACCTTCGCATATGCATGCACATGTGCTGGTTTGACGTTTTCCTATTTAATTGAGGTGGGTTTGTTACAGTCTGCATCAACTAAACAAAGTTGAAGTGCAGTTTAAACTTCCAAATCCCCTTCAGGTCTCTTTTTAAGAAACGCTCAAATCAGGATCAAAAGGCTCACTTCCACTTTTATTTCAATTAAACTGTTAAACTGTGTTGAATTGTAGGTTGAAACTTACATGTAACATTAGTCAGGCCTAAATTTTTAATTCGCAAGTATAAAAGTTCTGGTTCAAATAAACGAAAACAAGCACTGAGATGATGCATGCCCCAAGAACACTACAAACCATCAGAAAAAGTGGAAACAAGAGACTCCAGGGAACAAACTATCGTTTGACCTCATTTTCCACTTCTTTTAATTGGTTTATTTTAAGGAGAGCAATTTGCTCTCCTGAGAGATTTGAGAAGAGCGATTTATACATGTAGCTCTCCTGGATTTTCTTAACCACTTGCTGCCGGCTGGAATTTGAAGTTGCGTGACGTAAAATCAGGAGATTTTCAAGATTTTCCGTTTCCAATATTCTTAAAAAAAATCATAACTTCGTTTACTGGACGTTTACACCCACACGAATGACTGTCTGATTTCTACTCTAATCAAACAGACAACATCTATTGATGCCAGCATATTTCAGCCAGGCCTGTTGCCTGGTAAAAAGAGCCCAGATTGTGCGATGTTACGCAAGTTTTTGTTCCCGAAACTGGCACAGTGTGCTACTGGCGTCTTTTCAATAGGGGCCACATTAGAATGCAGTGGTATTGTATCACTCATCATTGAAGTGCTGTCAGAGCGCTTTTGCCCCCAGTGGTAATCCGCTCGTGGTGAATGCCAAAAACAGTGGTATAATCTTTCAAAACAATGATGGCTTTCCTCCTCTATTGACAACTGAAAAAATGTTAGCGATTCCCAGCAGCTCGGTCTTTCGTTCCGAGTATGTGCCTGCCTTTGTGCCCGAAACCGGGCTACCGGGCAGTATATGGTTAAAATGAAGGACTGCAAGGGATCAACATAAAGATATCCATGCTAATGGTGCTCCAGTTACCAAACCTGCAAATGACTGTTACAGCTCATATAAATAATTTGTAACTCGAGACCCTAGCATTGGTGAACTTCTAAGTCACAGTGAATTGATCACAGTTCTGTTTTCTTTAAGCACTTACCACACTCCCGTATGTTTTTGTTGAGCCAAACGGCCTGATGACGAGTGGTATATCCAGAAAGCTGTCTTTCCTTGCACTCTCATAGGTACACTAAAACAAAACAAGGAATGAGTTGCTTGTCAGTCAACGAATCAAAGGTTCATCATATCAGTTTGGTAATTCCATGTAAAAACTTGACTGTACTCAAGAAAGCGGATTGTTGACTGCTAATGGATTCTTCAGGGTACCTCTCCAGAATCCCCCCAAAATCCTCGACTGTGCAGATAGTCAAAAGCACAGTCTCTGAATTTAAACTTGTGGCCCTGACCCTAAAGGTTTGGTGAAAAAAAAACACAGCGTGTTGTTAGACTTGATTTAACCCCTTCACGCCGGGATTCTTTTGGCCATGACTGCTGGGCTGCAGTATACGAAGCTCTGTCCAGCAGCATGCCCACATTGAAACTGCAGGTGCATGATGAACAGAAGTATGCACTAATCCTCACACAAAGCCGCCGGATGAAGGGGTTAAGGGGCAACAAGCCCACCATGTAAAGTAGAAGTGCCTGAAACATTTCTTCCTCAATCCTACAAAAACATCTCATCCCACCCAGTGGTTTTTAAAGGACTTGGGAGGGGTAACAGTTAAGTCAAGCCTTCTATATGTGAAGACAAACTGAAATGCATGCAGTGATTAATAAACATGGCATATCGATTCTTTTTGTTGTCTCTTTGCAATTGTTTGGATTACAGATGCGCCTGTGAAGAAAATACAATGGAGAAGATGTTTAAAAACAACTTGTTTTACCTCCAGACACTTAACGTAGTCCTTCATTTGACCTTGGTAAAGTCTATTAATTAGATCCTCGTTCTCGGTGTTCTTGAACTTTGTCTCAAGGGCATCAAACATGACTCGGCATAGCTCCTGCACGTCATGTTGATGCCAGGCTAAACAAGGAATGGAAAAAGGCACGAAACCAAAACCTAAATGGTGAAGAGTTCCCAAATGGAGGTCGTGTGACACCAAGGTAACAAAATTGAAGTGAGGTATGAATTGGATGCAGCATGTCAGACAGGCAGAAAGCTACTGTCGATTCTGAAAAGCTTAGGGATTCACAGAACAAGAAGCGTTAAGAAAACCCCATAATTCTATCAAGTTGTTTTGTTTGTACCCACTGATGAATTATTTGACTTTATTTCAACTATCGCAATGTTTTGTTCATTCAGAATCTTTAGTTTATTACAACAATTTTTCGTACAAACTGTGGGACACTGATAAGAAACAGCATAATGGCCAAAGAGAAAGTCAACTGGAAATTGGTATTTGACGGAAACTTGAAGAGAATTCCATGAAAAATTTACCCGCAAAGACTGATTTTTTTGATGAAACAACAATAAAAAAGAAGCACTGACTAACAAACAATGCCTCACCTTCGCTGCTGTCCCATCCAAAGCTTCGGGTGAGGTCGTAGGTCTCAATGGATCGCTTCTTGCTGGTCTGCAGCTGCACAAATAGTCTCTGCAGCTGGTAAGGGATGCTTTTGCTGGGATCCTCAACAGACTCATCGAAGCACCACCTGCCAAGAGCACATCAATTATCACTCTGTGTCATCTACAGGTTTCAAACTACATGTATGTTTTAACTACTTGTGTTTATTTTTTAGGCTGAACAGTAATTTACATGCAACTGTAATATTTGTCCACAAAATGCAGTCTAACTAGACTCAACTAATCAACAGAGAGGTTTTGCATGTAAGCATGTTGCCCTGAACAACCTGATTGATTCTTACTTGTAGAGCGCGTTTCGAAACTCTGGCGTCATGTAGAGGGTCTGCAGCAGGCTGTTGAGGTAACAGGTCATGGCTTGGTTGATCAAGCCAACAAAGCCTAGAAAAAATATGAGGTGGGAAGCCATGAACATATTGAGCAACCACAGTAGTGAAGAACCATGAATCATTTTTATAGAAATGTTAAACCTCACCCTCTTAAGGTGGTGTAGGACTAAAGTACCCAGAATGGTACCCGACTACAATACAGGTAGCTACATGTATGAGGTCAAAGTGTTGTGAAGCTATATCTCTAGATAGGAAATGCTGTTCACACTGCTGTAGCTAAAACAATGCACAGTGAACAATTACTTATGGTACACGTACATGTATGTAGTTGCCTTTGAAAACTCACAAGAGATCAAGTGATATAAAGAACCATAAGAATTACATAAGCCATCTGTTTTGAAATGCCTGGACAAATAACTGATAGAAAGGTACACAATATCATAAGTTTAAATTGTAAATAAGCAAAACGACACAAGAAAATGGCTGAATTCCACAAATACTTTTAATTATACCAGAGCGATTGTGACGATCATTGCCATAGGCATAGCCCTACCTGACTCTGATTTAGCTACAACTGCAGAGGCATATGAACTGTAGCTATATTCAGTGAATGTAGCACAGGTGTCGACGGTGGGTGCCGTGATGAGAGGTTGGGTGTCATCCTTCTTGTCGCACGATGCCAGCAGGGCGTCTCCCCTGGTAGCTCTGTAATCAGGGCTGTCGGTGACGGTGATGCCGGTAGCGCCAGCCTGAAGCATGAATCAACAATAATCTGAGGCTGCGTCAAAAAGCCTTGACTTCCAAGATGATTTGTACCACTATCCCAACCAACCTACCCTGGCCATCTTGCGGTCAAACAACTGCACATTGAGGCCGAGTTCGGGCGACTTGTTCTTGTATGCTAAGGAACAGCTCGATTTGTTGTTCGTGGGTCGGTCGCTCGAACGCCAGGCAACAAACAACCAGTTATTGCTGTTAGTAAGTGGCAAGCAACATGCAACATGGCGACGTCCATGTACGTTATTTGAGAGTTAAATTTTGGATGGGCTGAATTCTTTTTATTTAGACAGGAACATTCATTCCGGTGTTATGGAAAATAATGCGTGTTAATTTTGCAAAACTTCCCATTGTCTCTGGCTTTGGAAGCCATCTCTCTACTTTTGCAGCTGTTCAAAAATCAAAATCTCACGAGTTTTTCTGTGTGTTCCTGTAAAACCCTAAAGAGGAGGTGGTGTGTGATCCTGTTCCGAGAACAGTGTTCTTCGGTCATGTTCCCGCCATTCCACCACGAGAACAAGAAACCCGTGTCAAGAACAGGCCGCCCGAACTCGACCTGAATGTTTGAAATGGCTGCACTTTCAAGTGAAGTCATGAGCTTAATATCCATCAGCGATAGAAGCGTTTCCCAAAAGTGTGCCTCCAAGAGTTTGCAACGCTTTGACCAATCACAATGCGCGAAATCTGTCAACCCAATGCGCATTTGGAAATGGTAGACAAATTTTGCACGTTGTGATTGGCAAATACGTTGCAAACCCTTGGAGGTGCACTATTGTGAATCGCCCGTATTCAGCATACTCACATTGATGGGCACAGGTTGGATGCCATCCTTGTCCTGGATCTGGAAAAAGTTCCTCTTTCGGTCAGCAAGAAGGCCAACTTCTTCAAGCGTTTGCAGACCACATTCACTCATTAGGACCTGTGCCAATTAGACGTCAGGTGAATTGATCTTAACAGGGGTGTGATTAGAGGAAAATGAAATATCCATGAAATAATCACCAGAGGGTTTGAGGACCCCACAGCAGCGTGGGATCTGTGGTACACACTCATGTTTACATTAAGCACTTTCCTTCCAAAAATCTGTGTAACAAATTTGCTACACAATTTTCTTTTGTATAGCAAAAAAAATGATTTTGTGTAGTCATGTACCGCAAACGCAAACTGATGATTATTAAAAAGTAAAACCTGGGGGTCAGGGCATTTTGGTCTGTCAGGTGGGGACAATCAACAATTTTTTTAATGCAGCCTAAGAATAAAAAAATTAAAATATGTACAGCCAGAGGAAGACCAAATTTTGTGACCTTCCATCATACATGTACGTTGTAGTCTAGGACCTTTGGTTATTTGAATTTGACTTTGTTTTCAGTTGAAAAACCTCGTGCAAGTAACGATACACCTGCAGCATTGCAATGTTTGATCACTAACCATGTGCATGCCATCAACCTTGGTCAGTAATCCTACATGTATGGCTTGCAGAGCTATGGCTACGTCTATGATTAATGTGTCTCTGGATATTTTCAATGGAGCAAAGACATAGGCCTAGCTTGGTCTACACAGATTTACACTGTGAGTCTGGTTTGCAGTCCGTCTTCTGTGTATCTTTCAGTGTCGCAGCACAGAGGCAGGAACCAATCTCATGCCTGCTGCACGTTACATGTACTCCACAGCGAACTTTCCAAGTTTCATGTGCTGTCTGCTTACCTACACGTATACACGTACGGTACATGTATGTTTCGTGCGTGTGGTCACTGTTATACATGTACAATAATCACATAGTGGGGCTTATCAGCTTATTCTACCAATAATTGTACAGGTAACCATTTGTCAAAGCTCTCCAAAGATTTGTTTCTTATTCTTTGATTAGAAATCTCCATCAAAAATTCTAATGCAAATTGCATCTGGCAACTGTGATGTACAATGTACATTGTATCAATTTGGAAACGAGCTGCAGAATTGACCCCAAACCAGTTACAAAATGCGAAGCAATACAGAGGAAATCCTTCACTGGTTTACTTACAGGTAGCCCTTAAAAACCCATTCCTTGTGTTTGATATCAACTGTTATACAAAAATCACTGTAATGGTAAACTTAGGATATTCCAGATTATAAAAGAGATTGTTTGAAAAATCCTGAAATCAGGAAAGTCCTTATGTAAAAATCCTGAAATTAGGAACAAATATCACCCACATTGTAAGTCCCTTTCCAAAACACTCTGGACAAAGTATCCCAAAACATCTGACATGCAAGAGATTGGGAAAATCATTCAGAGCAGAAATAAAACAAACCCCAAAGGTATTTACATGTACATAAACCACACCTAAATCCACTAAAAGCCAAAGGCACATTCTTTGTGTTTGATGATAAGCCCATTGACAGTAATGGCAGCTGTGCTACAGAGTAATGTGCTTGTATCATTGAAAATCAAGCGCAACAACAGACTGGATTTTGACAGCTCTGGACAGCTTTGGATGAAAAAGATCAACACTAAATCCCCAAGCATTTTTGCCTGGAGCATTCCTGAATCCTTCACAATCCTCCACTCTCCAGGAAACCTTTCCAAAAGTATCAAGCCCAATGTGAACAGTACCAGAGCTCCATTTTCGTCTCAATGCTTCAAAATCCACCAAAACCTCCAGATAGCTTCTGATGCATCTGAAGAAGGTATAGGAGGGATGGAGATCTGGAGTACACAACTTACATCATCACTGCCCTCTGTAGCGCCTCGTTGCCAGACCAAGTTGAAAGTGTCGGTCTCGTAGTTGGCCTGCTTGGCAATCTCCTCGCAGAGGTCCCGTGCCGTCATGCTGAGCGGCAGGGTGACCGTGATCTTGCAGTTGTTCCACTGGGGGTTTGTGGTGTCCCGGATTATGCAGAGAGCTAGTCGCTGATCATCCCCATGGCAGAACTGCAGCATAACCCAAAAATGGAAACCACAAAATTGAGATCTATCAGACAGTTGCATGAAATATGACTGTTCAGTGTGTGACGGTCGTTCACTGCGTAAACCTCATTCAATACGCACTGTTACTGATTCTAAATGGATATAACTTCTATCCCTCCACTGTGTGGGTAGGAACATAAATTTATAGCAACTGTACCAACAGGTACATGTATGTACAGTGTATACAGCACGTACAACAAAACTGAAAAATATCCACACACTTTTTTCACACAATTCGGAAGCACCAGTATCGAAGACGAAAGAGAGTCACATGAATTTCGTGCTATGATTCTTTTTACTGTGCCTGGTTTGATGCGGGAGAATACTGTACCTGTAAAGTGTTGTAGGTAAACAAGAAAGGAGTGGAGTTAAGTTTCTTCAATCCTTTCAAGCAACTGCCAGAACAACCAGCATGACTCTTCAAGTTCAGGCAAAGCCACGTACAGTCAACATCTGTCTTCACCTGTCGTGATTTGCTACATTTCATGACTAAGCAACAATCGAAACCCCAACTGCTGTGTCTTTTCCCCGCACACACACACACCCCAGTAAGTGTGTATTTGCCTGCGACTGGGGACCCCCTATTGTTTGTACTTTAACTTTTTTAGAAGACCACCTGTATGTTTTGTACACAGTTGTCAATCGGGGACCCTCTGTCAATCGGGGACCTTATTGTCCTCTATTGTTCAGGGTCCCCATTGCATGCAGAAACAAACTCACACACTCAAGAGTATAAATGTCTTCAATCCTGGACTCCCTATTGTTCCTCTTTTGTTCAAACTTTTTCGGAAGACCTCCCATATGTTTTGTACACGTTTTCCAACCGTGGACCCTTCGGCAACCGTGGACCCTATTGTCCCCTATTGTTATAGGTCCATGATTGAAGGCGTTTACACACTCTACAGTGTGTATGTATGACACGCCTGTACACAACCACACACACACACAACCCGAGCAAGTTGCATCCCTTCTTGTCCGGAAAAGATCACTTTGGGCAAACTGAACAAGAGCTGTCTGGGGTGATTCTATTGCACCTATTTTGTGCAGTGCATAGAGAGGATATTGACCTGGAGTTTTGGAAACAAACAGAGGAGTGACGATTTTTTTCCAGGCAGCTCTAATGGAGACCTTCACAACACATACATGTACATGTACAAGTATCATGCCCTCCCATAACTTCTGCTACATGTACCAAGCAAGAATCAAACAAATGACACATTCTTTGTGAGCTTTCAGGATGGCAAATGCCCCATGCAAGATTCAAGTACATGTGCCAGTAGGGTGGGCTGGCCCGTAAATGAATGTACATGTACCTTGCTTTATAATCCTGCAAAAATCCCCTAGAATGCCTGGGTGGATATTAAGCCATCTCCGAAAGCATTGGGGATAGGTTGAGGTACATGTACATGAATGCTCATATTGGTATGTTTCTCTTCTTGCAGCTAGTGGGGAACAAATGTGCGTACATGTGGGTTTCAGACAGTTCCCTTTGATAAACAACTGTTTATAAAGGGGAAGGGGTTTTTGTTCAGTTTAGTTCCATGTACATGTATGTTTTGGGAGGGGGTTCCCCTCCTTCTTTTTCTTAGTCTGCACCATCTACAGGTTGGAGGATGAGGTAAACAGAATGAAAGGTGTAAGGGTATCTGTAGTTAATTCTAAATGTGGAATGTATGATTCTCATTTCTGAAAGACCCCTATTTTTGGCTCTAACGAAGGCAGAAAAAGAAACTTTTTAAGGCCACTGACCCCGTCTTTTGTCCATCTGAGGGGACAAAACCCTTTTTACATGCTGCTGACCCTGTCTGGAATTTCCTACCAAAAAAATGATAATTTTAAGAATTTCTGGGAAAATCAAGACTCTCCCTTAATGTAAAAAAGAATATGAGAATCACAGAATTTACTACAGCTGCCCTAATATGTAAAAAAACATAAGTTGCTCAGATTAGGAGTGAACCTGTGAATACATTTGGCAAATTATTCGGCCACTAGGAATTTATGGCTTCCATATTTTTAATTACAATGGAAACTGCACTTTCATATTCATAACTGTAAATTCAAATTGCCTTTATTACTGTACATGTTAGTACATGTACACATTCTAAACCAATCATGCAGGCAAGGTCATTCTTTCTGGTCAGAAATGGCAGAATGCTTACCAGTACATGTAATAGGAAACGCATACGGTGTAAGCCATGTACATGTAAAACAGTCTCCACACAATTCAGTCTACACTTTTGGAGTTCATTTGTTTTGGGCTGTCAGATTACTCAAGTCATGTACATGTTGCCTACATACCGGTACACCTACTCATGATTTTTGGCATCTGAAAGTATAAAGTGTGTCAACGTTAAGCACTATTGACAATCCCTGAGGAAAAGGGAACCAGAATGTTGGTTTCTGACTGGACTGTTTCCCCCTCATATTTCTTGGAAATACTGGTAACTGATCCCATGTTTGTGAACCGACAATGTCCTGGACTTAATTCCCTGCAGAATTTACTACTGCTTGTAATCTGGCTGCTGTTGAGCAAGATATGGCTTCCAAGACACTGCATTTTACCAATACTTTTGTGCATACATGTAGTGCTGAGGAAAAATTAAGACAAAATGGGTGTAATTAAGAGGCAAGAATCAGTCTGCACTCTTATCAATGTTTCACAGCCATAAACAAGCTACATGTATTTCAGTTGAGACATTGGAAATTTAGAAACTGGGCTTATGTGTTGCATACATGTATCTTACATGTACACCATGAAAAGTTCTATTTTTAGTGTCAAACTCTTGTATGCTGAAGCAATAAGTGTCAGTGTAGAACAGCCAGGGATTTGTGCAAGGTTAACACATCAGACATTTGAACATTTCAGCACTTACATGTATATGTATTTATAAGGCAGTGCATAACGAACCATGAACCAGTCCTTGGCTTACGCACGCCATATGCTCTTGCTACTGTCACAGCAGCTGAACATGCACAGTGATTGCTTTGGGGGGCTTTGAAATTTTACTGAGACAAATTCTCATTTGGTGTCATGCTTACATGTACAGTGCCATTATTTTCATGGGTACTTCAATTAAATCACAAGTGTATGTACATCTATTCACAAAATGGAATTCAGACTTAGTACAACCTACGACTGTGTTCTCTTAAAAATTCCAAGTGCTAAGCAAGCACTTGGTCAGAATGGGTGAATTGAACAACTACATGTAAATGGTATCAGTTCACTACTGCCGGGCAAAAAAAACAAATTCAATTGCGACAAGATGAAAAAAGTGCACACTAAGGTTGTACATTTAATGTTGGTAATATGGTCTTTTAATGTAGTCTTATTTTATATATGTATTTAATATTGTACATGTAGCTTGTGAGTTGTAATGCGTACTTGAACATTATTTTTGGAATCTGTACAAAAAAATGCTGTTATTATTATTATTACTCTAGTCATGCCAGTGGTCACAATGAAATGACCTACATGTACATGTATCACTGTGAGTTAGCCATGCCCCTTAGACAACCCCATGGAATTTTGTACATGTACACTGAGTTTTGTCTCAGATTTTGCATGTCCTGTGTGCATTAGACAAGTTGCGTTGACTTGATTCTACATCGTAGGTCATCTGTGTCAAAAGCCTTCTAAATTGTACACCGAGTTATTCCTACTTATTTGTCAAGGCTCTGGAATCTGGATACCCTTAGAACCAGTATGGGGCTCCATTCACTGCCTCTCTGAATCTCAGCACACAAGAGGTTAAATGACACAGCCATGACAGTCCTCACACACTGCGCCACAAACGGTTTCATCCCTCTGTAGGTTCCTTCCTTGGTGCCAGTCGTGTAAAGCTGTGTCAGAGACTGGGGAGGGGGGGTGAATTAAATCAAAAAATTGCTCTGCCGTTGGTTCCGACAGCTTTGGGGGGGCAGGACTGCTGGACACTGCATTACACTCGGGGGCACTGGTCCTGACACAGAGGTACAAGGTACAGTATAACTTACATTTCCTTACACCCCTTAACCCTACACCTCCCCAGTCATAATGTGGGAGGAGGGTACACGTAGTCCTATCTGTACCCACAGTAAACTATGCACTTTCATTTACACCTCTCCAATCTACATGTATATCTGTTACAAAGGTAGAGCACGCAGGACACAGGGCAAGAGTACAGTTGTCAATGGACACCACAAAGCAATGCTATTTAGAGTGATATACGATATTTATATTCTTGAAATTTTTGTGGCGCCCATCAAAAAAACACCGCAAAATCGCTTCAAAATGAAAAAAACTGCCTAAAGACCTTGGTTCGAGCCATCATATTGGAACCACTTGTTGCATGCATGCTGCACGCACTGCATGCACCATCTTGATCACTACAAACCCTGTTTTCAGGCTAGCTTGACTGCTACCGCAGACCTATTCATGGACAGGGCAAATCGCTGGCTCTTTCTGATAACGTGACCTCAGAAAGTGTTGTCATCAGAAAACCCAAGTGATAAAAAACCAAAATTCTGTGGCATGTCACACAGAACACAATCTGCAAAAGATTTGCCACATAAAGGTACACCACTGAAGCGGTTGATTTTTATTTAATAGTAGAAAAAAATCTTTAGGTAACATAAAACAACAATAACAAAATCTTAGTGAGATGATTTTTTTGTCTGCACTTCCATAGTCATGTGTGCAAAGTGCAGCCATAGCCATTCATTGACAATCGAAGACATGTTTGGACTGGCATAATTGGAGATCACAGAGTCACCAACAGAGTTTAATGATAGTTTAAAAGTTCCACAGTTCCTTGCAAGTACATGTATGTCATTTTCCAATTTGGCCTAATCAGTTGACATTTTTGTTGTTTTTACCAAAAATGTGAACAAAAAACATATTGAGGTGACCCCAAATACTAAGTGGCAAAGGATGCCAACATGCTTAGTTTTTCACTTTGCCTTAAATTGGTGAAATTTATAAGTATGCTGCTCGTCTACACCACACACAATGGAAGATTGACAGCTTGCATTGTCAGCAACATAACCAGTTGCAATGCAGCTCCTACATTTTCTTGTACTCCTGTCACCCCCAAATGATTTCAAGCCGTGCACCGCGGTGCTATGACTGGTCACTGGTATAGATGCGATTAAGCCCTCCCAGTCTGTGCCCCCCTTCTGAAAATCTTGGATCCGCCCCGTCTACTCCAAGATCATGAAGACCATGAAGATACATAGGGCCAAGTTGTTTCACACAGATCTGGATCATGATCCCTAGCTGGTTCGTGCTACCCATGAAGCATGTTCTGGCAGGTTTCAGTGAACCAACGACAGATTTAGTTCTACTGAGTGGAGCGTTAGTATTCGATTTTGGACGGGATCGTCATACTAACGCTCCACGCCCGTACGTATTTTAAGGTGAAAACGGTTCTCAAAGTCCAAAGACTCACCAGAAATACCTCTATCACCACCTCCTGGCTTCCATAAATGCCAATGCCAAATGGTTGGGGCTTCAATAATTTTTCTGACTTCAAAATCTGTCAAAATCCGACCGTTTTTGCTCGACACACG